CATATTGCCGAGTTCATCAGTTGGCAGTGCGATGGTTCGAAAAAGAAGGAAATAAGTTTGGCAGTTTAAAATAAATTTCATTGTTTCTCAGTTGTCATCAGTTCTCGTGCAAGTTTGCACCTTTTCCCCTCTTCTGGTCACAATGACCCATCCCAAGCCAACGAAAACTTCACGACACGAAACAAGCCTGACAGACCAAGATAAAATTCTCGTTAACATTCTAGTAAAGAACCAAAAATTTCTTATATTCAACTGAAGTGCCGCTTTTCCTCTATACGCAAAAGCTGGATGACCGAAATGTAAACATTAATAAATACACGAAGATTAATGTCAATATTAAAAAAAAAAAAAAAAAAAAGATTGGGGAACACCGATTTCGTTTTGGAGAGAACATGCCCGGAAATAAGTTACGAATGTGTAGGACAGAAAGAAATGAATCGTGTATCTTTCAGGAATAATTAAATTACTTCAAATATGCTGTCGCTTTCGTCGGCATACAGTTGACAGGGTTAAAACCTTTGGGAAAACCAGTCATCTTAAAACATAATGTATTTAAAATGCGACGCGACACTGATGCAGAAAGCCGGGAGGATAATTCTTTCTAGAAGAAAGCAGAGCGAAAAGCTGCTTGTTGACAGGCAGGCCTGTGTTCCTTTTGCAGCGATGGCCCAGTCGTCAATGAACTGGTGGGCCATTTCATCGGTTGGCCCGTCAGTCAGTCAGTTAGTCCGACAGTCCGATTTGTCAATTGTCAATCTCTGACCTATGTGGGCAGAAAGTAACCACTAGAGTAGTGAATATTGTCCATTCCCCGATGTATGCAAAAAAGATAAAAATGACAATAAAAAATACTTGACGTAAGACACCATGAAATGTTTTCCAATCGCCACTTTTTATTTATTTGTTAAACAAAACACTGGTAAATTAGCTGATGTGTCATTACATTATGTAATCTCACACCTGAATAGTTAAGCGTATGACACAAAAAACTTTTATTGTATTGTATTGTACGAATTCTCGCAAATAAAAACGGATCAATGCTAATCCATTGAGATATTAAAAGCTTTTTCAGACAGTTCAAGTCACTGCACCAAAATATAACCCATGGCTTTGATGTGTTTGTCTCCATTATCTTGTGAGAAAGTTGCTTCGTTCCCACACGTGTTGCTGTCATCATCCTTTCCTCCTGTGCCAAACCCGATTCTGGAGTTAAAGCTGTCGCAGTGATTTTGCCCGTTACTAATGATGCCGATTCTTGCTTGGGAATGGACATAAGAAGTACCCACAGCATTGAACCCTTCCTTGTTACAGTTGGGTTGTAAGGAGGCCTTTGAGCCAATCAACTTCTTCCACGTGTTACGGCCCAGTGAGGTGGCGCGGTATTGCCCGTCAGCGATCAGTGAGTACAGAGAGTTGGCTGTCTTGTTAATGACAATGAAGTTGAATTGTTGACCAATCTTCATACCAAGACAAATCTTGAAGAAGGATGTGTTCCAGTAAGTTGGTAGCTTGGTCTCTTGTGAGTCAAACCCACTCTGACCTGCTGTAAGATTATAACCGTTTGTGTCGTTCCAAAAGTGAGAATTGTAGTGGAAAGTTGTCTGAAATTGAAGAGAAAATATTAGCTTTCATGTCGTTNTAATGGAAAGTTGTCTGAAATTGAAGAGAAAATATTAGCTTTCATGTCGTTGAAATTTTAAAATGCTTATAATGTTCATATAACACATTGCGTGGGGAGAGGTTTGTACCTTATTGCCGTTAATCTTCATGGCTAGTGTCCATCCTCCATCTCCACATCCAAAGTTTCCCATGTGACAATAAACAGGAATCGTCTGCTCACTAAACATCAGTGGATACACTTGACTCTCTCTGGACCTGTTATAGGGGACAAAAAAGAGGATTGTGGAGGATGAGGCTTCTTAATCCTTATAAAGTCAAAGAACCCAACGCCACTCCTTAAATTATTACTGTACGACCAGGAGATTTTCCCAGTCTAGTGACATATACTATTCATCTCGCTTGTTTCACTGGATTTCCACTGGAGTTTCCACAGTTCACACCTTGGCTGGTTAGCTTCGTTTGCTGCTGAAACGAAACGTGCAGTGCATGGTTTGCGCGAGTAGAACTCCAAACAATTTAAATACCTTGCAATTACTAGTGTAATATCGTTGAACAAACATTAGGGCTAAAAGTGATTAAAATATCAGAGTAACAAAATGCTGAAACTGAATTCTGCTGTAGTCTCTTTTCCTAAACAGCAGTGTTTATAAAATGAAGGAAAGGTAGGGATTTGCCTCAGCATCTTGAACCGAGGTACTGTGGGAAGTGAATCGAGAGGCGAGCGATTCTATTTGGTTATCAAAACGGCATTTAGCTGTGAACTTACTTGTGTTTATCATAGAGTTCCTTACAAGACAGTCACATTAAGGGCTGTAAAAAAGATTAAACGTCTGTCAGACATGTATAGTGTTTTAAAAAGCGCTTGTAGTGGAGATTACGGGGTTTAAGTTTTACTAGCGCGTTAAGGGCTTAAACCTGATAATAGCTTCGTTAACAAGGGAATCCTGAATCCAGTTACAAACCATGATAATGCCGGCGTGAGGGTTTGAGAGTGACAAAGCTTTGGTGCTCTTCGCGGATGATATTACAGTCATGAGTATACGCAGGTTGGCGCTAGAACGTGCTGCAAATAACACGTGCATTTGGGGTATTCATGGGAAAACGTTGCTGGTCTAACTGAGATCTGTATGTTAAAACCTCTGATGACTCCGCTTCCTTATCCCGTAACTGTTATTGGCGCTAAACCAAAGCTGAAAATAACACGCGCGTTTTGCGCATTCATGGAATACCTCTGTTGGTCCGACTCGCTAACTTACGCTGAAGATGTCATGGTCAACAGTACGCGAATAATTTCTTGGTTGCAGCTACATCGACCAAGCAAAGTTTCCCTGGTTTATTTGGGGTTAGAGATTCGTTCATTACCAACTAACCTCGTCAGTTGAAGAGATTTGTTTTTCTCTTTCTTTTGCTGGAATAATTAGTTTTTAACTGAAAGAATAATGGCCGACCTTCGTACCGAGGTATTCCTTTAGTTCAGTAACTTGTCAAACTGGCATTTCTGCACCTGCTGTTATACTGATTATCTAAAGGCAAGTGCTTAAGACCGGCATGGCGCAAAAAATTCTTTCATTTCCACGATTGCAGCTTTACATGCCTGATATCTTCATTGCGTGTACAGGGTTTAATTTTTAAGGAGAGAAAAGTTGTTTTCAATATCTCGCCTCACTCGACTTCCAGCGAGACCGATCAACTTTTTAACTTAGCAACCACGAATTGAGTCGACTCGTGCGAACTCTGTCGATCAATCAACATTTACTACCACGCTTTCACGCTTTAAGAACGACGAAGGTTCGATCGACTCGATTCGTCGACTATTTTAGACGAATACTACATGCGCTTAGAAGACCCCCTCCC